AACTAGTAGAATTTATCAAAACTTTCCTGCTCTTTCAGAAGAGCAATGCTTTGACCTGCTTCAGTAAGGCAGCACTTACAAGCCAGCAGGAGCTGCCAACGTGAGCCTACAACCTCACACACCAGAAACCTCCCCGTCCTGACTCCATTGTTGTACAACCTGCTGTTATAACRAACTCACTGTAATTACTCCCAATTTATACTGCCATAAGTGAGAGCAGAATTAGGTTTAACATGAATAAGCAGCCCTATGTATATGCAGTTTYACTATGTACTGATCTGCACATGCACGTTATCTATGCAGAGCCCATAAGCATACTGCCACTCCTATAAAATAGGAGATTCAGAGACAACTGAAATATTTTTTTTCAGAAGAAATATTTTCCATAACTTCTAGTAATTTTGGAATTAGAATGCAAAGTCAGACCTAAATCTTTTGTCTGGTCAGCCTTCCTGCAACCTACGCTGCTCAGTACATAGCAATGATATATTACTTACAACTCAATCATCCTGTTTTTCTTTGAAGTTAGGAGTAAAATACTGACCCATTCCAGTTCGTTACTGACCGGATTTGGTAGGACTAGTGGTTTCTAAATCTCCTATGTGTCCAAAGAGGAGGTGAAAAAAGCCCACAATGTTCCAATTCATGCTCCACAATTACCTTATTGGCAACAGAGATTATGGCTGTACACATGAAAGAGAGGGGCAGGCCGGGCTTCTGGACTGAARGGAGTAGAAATGCTGGACTACGGCAGCATTTGCAGACAGGGAAGGTGCAGGAAAGGTGCCACATATCTTAAGAACTTTTAGTTTAATTCACGGCCTACCAACATCAGCAGGAAAATTTCCAAAGTCGTGAACTTATTTCACTCATATCATGATATGACAGGGAAGGCCTGGGGCCCTTCTAGGACATTTTGAGCAATACATCAGCATGCAACTCCTTACAATTTAAACGGAGAGTTTTACTAATGACTTTGGAAGCTGCAAGTTCGATAAATCCTTATTTTGCTGTATGCAGGAGTTAAAATCAACTACTTTGCTTACTAGACACATTCATCTGCAGCAGTAACAGTATCTAATTCAGCCAGTTTTACAAACTTATGATAATAATAGCTTCAGAAAAAAAGTACAAATGGCTCCGATTGCTTCTGCAAAGCTCTAACCTGCTGCAGAATTGGATGTTCTCACCAGAGAGGGACTGCCCCTCGGCGACGTTACTTTGCTGCTCTTATCCATTTACAAAACACTCAAGAGAAGTGGAGGGTGCTCAGTGGGAACTGAGCTGACAAGGTTAGAGCTTAACAGAGTGATGTTTCCACACTACATTTGCAAGTTAGCAACTTCACTAATGCAAAAAATGCCACAAGACTGAAGGTGGAGCGGGGGCGGAGGGGAAACTAAAAGCCCTTCCTACCACCAGAGACCTGCTTGCTGAGGTTACAGAGCAATCTCTCTAACCAAGCACATCCAAACAGAACTGATCACACTGCATACGCTTAACCCAACTTTCAGTCTTTCCTTTTAACAGAGGGCCTTGCCCTCTGCCTGCCTCGAATGACAGACCCAGCAGTAAACGCTGCTCTGAGCAAAACCTGTAGCTTGGCTTCCCCTCCAGAGCCCCTTTGATCCAGCTCAGCCTTCCTTCTCCTATTGCACTGCTGTCTCCTTCCCAAATCAGATTCCAAGTCACATTTCAGCTTTGACATGAATACTCACTTGCAGCCTGAATGGGTTCCTTATGGGCTGCATCTCCAGCTCAAAAGGTGTTTTTAGTTTAGCGGTGTTGCTCCTACTTAGGCCGACTCATTAGTCAGAAGCTGCCTAGGAACCCTTTTCAAGGCAGCCTGGCACCCTACTTAAATGCCTGGCCTAAGTTCAGCCAGCCTAATAGTTTAGCTGTTTCTTAGGGCTTCCCTGCACAGCGCGTGGCATCAGAGGTATTTTTGGAACTGCTTCTCTACTCCACTGGTTTTACAGCGTGTGACTTCACTAAAGATCCATCAGAAACAACTGCCTCTGGTTTTGCTGCAGTTCTTCCAGAGTACTTAAACTTGAGCTATAAAACCAGATTCCTTACACTCAGTTCAAGGCAGATTTTTGCAAATATTCCTTTAAGTGCCGTGACATTCACTCTCCCAGAGCTATATGTGCTTGCTATCAAGAAATATTTAAAATACCTGTATTTGGAGAAACCAGGTGCTCAAGCGGCCAGACTGGCTACCCTGCAGTGTGCAGCTGTGCCTGTTCCTCTGCGGTCACTGACAGGCTGCAGGATCTAGTTTTTGAGGCCGTTGTTTTCTAAAGGGGAAAAAAAAGATACAAACAAGACAGAATGGAGCAACATACACAGGTAGCAATGGTGGGCACGACAGACCCAGTTCAAACCTCACGTAAAGAGACCTGACCCTCCTACTGTGCACACTCACAGCATCACAGATACGAACACCTCTGGACTAAGCCTCACTTAACAGAGACCAGTTCAGCTCTCCCGACTTACTGTGACAAGCCTAAAATAATGGTACTATTTTTCTGAAGTTGCTTCCTTCAACATCTGTGGTGAGTATGTGCTATAGGCTATTGCAAGTACCACATATTTAAAACTAATACGAGATGCTAAGGGTTGGTCCAGGCGCGCTGTGATCATCGGGAGCAACRAGCGCGTCAGGAGACGCACACGCTCCACTGAGGACCTAGCCCACCCCTCATAAATCTCCCCTCTTGCTCAGATTTTAAAGAAATAACAAGTAAATCTTGAAATACAGAGCAAAAGTAGGACCCCAAATGCCTAACATTCAAAGAAATTCTCAATAACCAGGTATTTACCTCTGTTCACACAGATGACATTTATATTGATGTCTGCCCTTGCTTATTATGCAAAGAATCAATCACATATCTGGCAAAACTTATTTTTAAGGGCTTATTAAAACACACTTCCTTATTCTAGAATCACTGAGTATCACACAGCACCCTCTAAATAGGGAATGTGTTTTCAGTTTTGTTTTAAATGAAACTAAAGAACAACAATGTTTTCAGGCACAAAAGCCTACTTTTAAAAATCAACTAGAGACATTATTATTTSTTTTTATTAATACATACAAAATTCTTAGGGTATACAAATTGTGTTGTCTTTTTGGACACAGTGAAAGCCAAATTTAGGGGCATTACAGCATTAGTTTACAGTACACTGTTTCAAAAACACCATATTTATGATTAAACAAATAGTTTATATATATGTATATATATACTAAAAAAGTTTGAAATAGCTGGATAACAAATCATTGATTTATACTATCAAAAGGTAGGGAGTATTGTATCCCTTAAGACTGTGACCTTAGCTTTCAAATAAAAATCTCAACTAATATGAGTTCCCACAAAAAAAAAAAAAAAACACCCAAACAAAATCCCATCAAACAATAACCATCCTCAGCAAAAGAAACAAAACCCAAAACACAAATCCCCAAAGAAATGGCACAACTTTCCCCAGACTAATAACTTGTCCTGACAGCTTCAAGCACAAATGGATTATTTTAAATATCACATAAACCTACTGCAAATTAAAAAAATAAGATTACTTTACACAATGCACAGAAATGATTTCTACTGAGCACAAACATTTACAACTGTGCCGTGTTTCTCCTTGCATAACCCATACTCACACACAAACCATTTTCCAAAAAAATCAGTGAAATATTCAGTCCACTTTTGTTTCTTTTATACAATATGAAATGGTTACAATACCATAGTATATTTTAGAATAAGTTAAACATCAAGACATATGGCAATAGCATTGTACTATTCTTCCTACATACATAGTAAACCCAGAAATTCAGTCTATTCTTATTCAGTCACAAAAATGAATGAAGACTAAGATCCAGTTATACTGGAAAGCTAGACTAGTTTAGAAACCACAAATAGTGTAAGCGCTTTGGTATAATATGTACAGATTGTGCTGTCCACCTCATGCTTGCATATTGTAACTGATAACTGTTTTCAACGGGTGAATTAAAAAGAATGTTACCGTAAAACTTGCTTTAGCATTTCTTGTTTTCCACTTGGAAATGATGTAGCCAAAGATGCACCACAAGTACACACACAGCATTTGTATGATGTGACTACAAATTAAATATTAAAGTGTTTAAATACAATGCAAGACCAGTCTTTTAAGTGCATAGAACATAATGCAGAATACTGTTAACTACAGGGACAAGTACAAGGATATTAAACGTTTTAACAGATATTGAACAATGCTCGTGAAGAACAAAACAAAAAGATGCGAATCAGAATCAACAATCTCTTAGTGTTAAAGTTCAACATTTGCCCCCTCACCAGTACCAGAAACTAACTGCTGAATTATGAAAGGTATCTACTGCATCCATTTTAGCTGCACCTCTCAAACACTCAGAATTGCACCTGCAGATGCTTTAGTTGTTTGCGTTTCTTTTTCTTTCTTTTCTTTTTTTTTTTTTTCCTCCTTTCCCCCCCTTTTTTCCCCCTCCTATTTAAAAGGAAACTTTTCCTGAAAGTGGAGCTCAGAAAGTGCATTTAATTAAGGGTTCATTCCCTTCCCCATTTCATGGATGCATTGGCTGTGGTTCCGAAATATTAGCTAAGCCTATTCTTCCACTCTACAATCTATCAGAATACCTCAGATTTAAATCAGACAACTCCCTCTCAGTTAAGGAGACCCTCCCTTTGTGAAACAAATCAGTCACAATTCCAGTAAAGGCAAAATACTGCAACACTTACTCATGAGAAATGCCAACTTAAAGAATCAAGACCACAGGGTTTTCAGAAAGTTTGGACTATATGCAAAATCTTCCCAAATTTGTGTTTTATCTTTGGGCTTTCAGGACACAGTAAACTGCAAATATCACATTCAATTAACACTGCAAGTCTCTCTTGGACTATGGTCTCAGGAATGAAATGGTAGCCCCCAAATTCTCAACCCAACCAGAGGAAATGCATGCCAACCTTTACTCCTTTAACATGTAAACACAAGGGATGGTGCCTCTCATTTGAATTTCCTACTGCTGTCAAGTAACACCTGGCAGGTATCAGAAATACTTCACTTAATGCAGTATTTTCCCCATTTCAAAACTGCCTTCTTATCCTTACAGAATTCTTAGCTATTTGAAGTCAAACCAAGTAATTGCACCAGAAGAATGGCAGCGAGCTTTGCTAAGTGAAACTTCTATAGAGCACACGTGGGAGAAAAGGATCTGACCATGGTTGGCAAGTGGGTTGGAAGTCAAGTGAGTTGAAACAAAACTAAGACATTCCTTAATTGAAATGATTAACAGTTAGCAGAAATAAACTCCGATCAGCATGATCTTACTGTAGGCTGGTTGGTGACCCAGCCAGGCTTTTGTGCAGGTTTGGGTTTTGACTGTGCCTGTTCCGACTGCGAACGGATGAAAACATCGTGTTGCAACCTGGGACTTTACACTTGTGGAGCTGGCGGAGATGCACAGTTTTGTAATGAGCCCTGAATGTYCCTTTATTACTGTACGTTTTTTGGCATATGTGACAAGTTATTGGCAAACTGGAAGGCAAATTAGTAAAGTTTTGATTAGCTTTCTCAATTAAAGTACAGTCTTGGTAGAGTTCGTCACCGGGCATTAGGCTGGGTCCTTCACAGCTTTCGTCGCTGTCTTCCAAGGGCATGGTGCACACCTCGCTTCCCCCATCGGAGTCCCAGGAGGAGTGAGCACTGCTCTCGGATTTAATGCTGGAAGTAGTGCTTAGATCCAGAACGGCTCCATCATTCAATGGATCGTATCCATAGCTCTCAGAGCAGGGCTCTCTAATTTGGCTCACTGGAAAAACCAAGCTGCCTGCTCTGCTTGATCCTTTGAAGATTACAGAAGTATGTCCAACATGTTGTTTTAAAGAGACATCTTGACAAAACTCTTTAGCCATGTCTTTCAAGAGGTATGTTGCATTGAAATGGTTGTTGAATTCCAGTGTATCTTTAGTCAGAAGCTTATGATGAAGATTTAGGTTTGAACTATGTCTAGAAGAACAAAGACAAACTTAGCAAGAAAGTGTTTTGCCTCACTGAGAAGCTGTTTCATAATCATCATTAACAAGGAAAAATATATATATATCAATATTKAATAGCATGCATGAACTGTATATTACTAATTTGACCAACTGCCACAGTGGGAGTGCACAGAGATGATTTATACATGTGACTGGATATCTGCGCTTGCTTTCACAGGCAAACGTTACAAATACGTTCACAAAAATTAACATCCAGATTTTCTGCTGCCCTGTGGGCAAGARTCTGTACCACTAGATTGAGGATGAACCTAAAAGAGGTGGGGAACCCACTAAAACACTTTCTTTATGCTGAAGTGAGATCCCAKACTGGACTGGGAATGGGAGAGAAAAAGAACCTTTTGCAATGTACAAAGCATAAAAGAACCAGCATCAGAACCTRCAAAGAAATACTGATGATCTCTCAGGTGCTTTAAGCATATACTAAGATGCAGCTGTACCCAGTAGTAAATAGCTTTTCCTTAAGAGGAATTTCCTTGAATGAAGGGAAATTGCATTTTCTAAAACCTGCAGTTTTCAAATGGGCATCCCACCAAAACATAGGAAATCACTGTTATTCATTCAGTACTACCAGTTAGCTCACTGTGAACTTCCAGACTCTGGCTAGAAGATTCAGTTCATCACAGGATAGGAAAAACATTCATTTCCCTCCCTTACCATCACTTAGCTTGCTTTCATCTAAACTATGAACTATTCAAAATGGGACAGAGGTATTTTAAAGCTGCAGTCACAGCACTCAACGCCAGAAGCTTTTGCAGAGCTGCTCCACATACCTGCTGCTTTTCTCAAACCTTGGGACAGAAGGGTTTYTATGGGCCCCCTCCTCCCTTTTTAACCGAAGCCATCTCCCAAAGCACCTATGTTAAAGCCGAGCTAAGTCTCTTGGTGGGAGAAGGCACCTGTGGCACGTGGGCAGACACAGGCAGCAGCCGGGGGTACGAAGCCCCCACGGCTCATCCTCCCTCCCGGCAGGTGACGGCAGCCTAAACCTGGGGTCACTCGGAAGCACAAGCCAGGCCTGCCTGGGGCAGCCAGGCTCTGCTCCAGCACCGAGGCTCTGCAAACCCACAGGACTTGCTCGCATTTTAACCGGCCTGCTCGGCACCACTTATCTATTAATATACGGAACTGCTGGTCTCAAAGCTGCGCTTCCCCTTTCTCAGCCTGTGTGYGCAATACGCCAAAATGAACTGATTTACAGCAATGCAGGACTGGAGTGACAGTGAAATGAATCACCTTTATGGCATAATTTAGGAATTWGTATGTGCTCTCATTTTTAAAGGCAAGGTGAACATACAACAGATAGCATGAGCTCAACTAGCACTGGGTAGTGTTAATTTTATACTGACATTGGGTAATCTTAGCTTTCTTGTGGGGGTTTTTCCCACCAGTCTGTTCAAAATCCTTGTGCCAAGCAAGAACAAAGGTGAGTAAAGATTTCCTGACTTGAGCTAATTGTCTTTTCATTAAAGAAAACAGCATGCATTAAAATACACATGAAAGTACATGTTAAACATATAAGTCCCCACATACATCTGCTGGAAAATTGCTAAATTCATACCCTTGTGGCTTCCCCTTTATGTTCTGAAGTATTCTTTCAACTACTGCAGTCTTTATCAGTTATGAAATTTTCATGGCTTTATTTAATACCTTGTAGTCTAGTGGAAAGGAAATGTTTCTTTCAATAGATTTTCATTTCATGAATGTTCTGATAAGTTATCGTACCTGTTATACAAAGATACACAGAAAATCTTGCAGGTTCCACTCCTCAAATACCCATTTTAATTTCAAATTAGGCTTCATTGTGATGGTAAAATAAATACAATTTTGTTTATAATTTTCTTACCTGTCTCGACTTCTACGAGAAGGGAAAGCAGCATTACAGCCCTCAACTGTGCAAATATGCATTTCTTTCAGATGTACATTTTTAAAATGCATTTTTACACTGTAAGGGTTTTTAAAAGTCTTCTTACAGATGTCACAATGAAAGCGGCTTTCTTCCTTCTGAATCCCTAGTGCATGTTGACTGACATGATCCATATCTTTAGAGTCTTCAAAACAAGGAATGGCAGCACCCCTGTTTGACAAAGTGCTGAAAAAGCCCCCGGTCAGCAAGTGGTGTTGCAATTCAGGGCAGTCATTTTTAGGCATCCTGCGCTTTGACTGCTCTGTAATATACAGGGGGGGTTCAGTCACCGGTTTTATAACATCAATGTGGTGGTGATTTGGATCTTCATATATAATTTCATGGGAAACTAGTTTTAATGGTTGGTTTTCTTCTGGTTTAACCTCTTTCTCATAGTGATGCAATTCATTCTCAGAGACATCCTTGATGTATTTGTTATTTGGTGCAAAATACTGTGATTCAAAATACTGTGGGCCCTCTACCCCAGAGAGAGATTTCCATGAATTACCTGAAAGGGGGTGCTTTTCCACCCTGTGGGTCACCTGCTTCTCTATCTTATGCTCACAGGTCTCAAGCTCTCCATCGCTTACCACTTGGAGACGTGTATCATCTTCGGAGCTGGCGACATCGCTGCTCTCATTGGGTGTCTCAACAGCTTCCTTCTCTATCTTAATGGGCATACTGGATTTACGAGACTTCTTCTTGGGTAGCAAGTCAAATGGCAATTCATTGGAAACCAGCTGCTCTGGTATTGAGGAAGAAACGAGAGGCAGAGAAGGGAGAGTACCTGGAGTATTAGCAAGCTCAGCTGGCGTGACTGGACTGCGGTAAAAGGGCAGAACAGGCTGCACGGTCTTTAGGTTTGGAAAGAGAACCCCGTTCTGTCCAATGCTGGGGAAAGCGGCTTGACTCTTGGAATCTGTGCAAGAGCTGGCATAGTTGGTAATAGTTCTGCTGTCTGCAGTTAAAATTGTAAATTCTGTCCTTTTACTGTCTCCAGGTCCCGCAATGGTCAAACCATTTCTTAGATCTTTATCYCTGTTATTTCTGTTCATTGGCATATGGAGCCTGGGGTTCGGATTCGCGCTGTGACGATTCCGACTACGCAGAGAGCTAAATACCATATTGCAGCCCTCAATTGTGCATTTGTGCTTTATCTTCAGATGAACAGCATTATAATGTATTTTCAAAGTACCTTTGTCGTAAAAAGTCTTTTCACAGGCGGTGCAGAAAACACGCCCTTTCCTTGGCCCAGTGCCATTTTTTTCAACAGATTTCATTTTGTTTTCTGGAGATAGCGCTGTCATTTCAAGCTTTGCCGCTGTATTATGTGAACTGGAATCACTTAAAAGGGCATCATCTTCTGTCTTAGTGATGACATCTGGACCATTTATGCTTCTCTCATTTTCAACTTGAAATGGTACAGAACTAGAAGTTAAGAAGCTGCTTTCAGAAAATGGTATCTGAACATCTTTAGTTTCGCTGCTATGGTCTTGACCTTGCTCAATCAAGTGTCTTTCTGGTGGTGAACCTATCAAAGGCGGAGGCACTGGACTAAAAAACTGAAAGGGCAGCATGAAAGCCATGTTATTTACAATATTCTCAAAGGGATGAATGTTGGTGGGACTCAGTTTGTCCAAGGAAGCAGAAAAGTTAGGACTATGTTGATTGCAGCTTTCTATGAATGCCCTAATATCCAGATTAGTAGTTGGCGGTATTATAATTGATTGTCCTTCTTTCTCCTGAATTGCCATTAACTCTACAATGGACTTAGTTTCTCCAAAACGAAGAAACTGCTGCAAAGTAGCCAGTTCTTCTTCATTGGTCATTATGCTCCAGTGATCCAGCACTTTTCCTGAAGCATCCTGAGGCAAAAATATTTACATGAGTAAGGCATTCAGGAAAGAAAACCCAATTCCCTGAAACCCATTTTTCCCTGGGACTATGAATTACCCTAGGTAAACTACAAAATTATTCTATACAATGATATATTAATGGCAATTCTGTGTGCTTTATTCCAAATTTTAACATACCAATAAAGCTAACAGTAATACTTTCCAACGAACTATTTTTTTCCCCACAAATTAAGACACATGTCATTTGAACAACAGTCAGTATCATGTAAGTACAGACAGCAGAGATAGAGCAATCAGACTAAGATTTAGCTCCTCATTTAAGTCAAGTATTCTTTCATTGCAAGTTTAATAATCTTCCAAAGCAACTAAGATCAGAGAACAAATGAACCTGTATTGATCTATTGCCAGTGTTCACAGAGCACAGCTGTAATTACACTAGAGTGTTGGAGTTCTTTCAAACTCTAGCTATGCCTAACTTTTCCCAATAACTACAATAAATATTTTATCACAGAACATGTATTTGATGGCCTACTGAGATTTTTCACAGTGCATGTAAGAGTTTCTAAGATGATGAAGAACGTARCGTTATAAATTTTTCATGCAGGAGAGGTTCAAGGTAATTGATTCCATATTTTTAATCCTAACACTAAAAAGCAAGATTATCAAGACCATTAAATATTGATTTGTGTCATAATGCAAGATCATAATGTTACTTTACATAAAAGGTAACTTCCACTGTAGCAAGAATTAGCCTCAGCATAAGCACACAGGGCCAGACTCATCCTTGTAGCTCCAGTAAGGTCAGTAATGTTGCACTAGAGATACATTGTCCCTGGTGTTTAAAGTGATGGTCAATTTTTTTCTTAACGCATTATTTTGCTGTTTAAAGGTAAACTCACTGTTTTAATAATTTCTTGAGCAAATTCTGAAGCTTTTACTCAGATAAAAGTTTCTGGAAATGAATCTTAACTGTTAGATTTAAGCAAAGTAGTATGATTTTGGTTCAGTCTGAATAGAGAGCAATGAGACCAAAAATGCACCCTCTCCTTTCTGGCACTACACTTGAATGAGTATACACTTCCTTCAGAATTCCCTCTTCAATTCCATTGTGGAACACTGACATGATGAGACTTGAAAACATGCTGATATCCTACACAACTACCATCTTTGTACTTAAAAAAAATCCCACAAGTCAATACCTGTAGCACATATCCACGTATATAATCCTGTAATGTCCAATCCAGAGCATGGAGAATCTGTATCACCTCTTCCTGCTTGAGGACACTGAACAGCCGATCCAACAGGATTTTGAGGCGCACAGGAATGGCTTGGGTTCCATACAGCATGAGGCTACTGATATCGAAGACAACATTGGATTGAACTATTTCTACCTGGCTTGTTGGGTAGAGGTTGGGAATCCTTAGTTTGCTCAAGGCTGAAAATAAAATTACAAGGCAGAAAYAAGCACGAGAGTTAGACAAAACTGAATGTAAAGCATACTGTGGCAAAAAGTGAACAGGAAAAAAAAACAAAAGAAAGCCAAACATGCTAAAGTGAGAAAGATCCTTAAAAGTTTTTAAAAGGCTGTTAGAAGAATTATTACCATGTGCTACCCATCCATGCCGACACTGGTCACATTGTCGCTGATTTATTTTCCCAGGTTTGAAACACTGACAACTACAGCTCACCAGAGTGCATCGGATAGCCTGGAAATGAACAAAAAAGATGACAGGCCATGTGTAAGCACCCTTTAAAGCAAGCGAGTAGCACACATACAGCATAAACACGAGATACACATGAAGATGACCAAGATAACACACCAACACGTACTCATTCATCACTGTGCAATGGAAGTAACCCAGGCAAAACCTGGCTGTGAAAGGCCATCCCTGCTCTAGAGAGAGCCAGTCACCAGCTAGAGCATCACAGCACTAAGGAAGCAAAACATTTAATGAMATGCTTAGTAACACTCCCATGGATGTACGTAGGCGGAAGCGGCTTTGTAACAATAACAAATAGTTCTTGTGCATTCACCTAAGCATTGCTGCTCATGTGAGCATCACTTTTTTCCCTGGAAGGCTTGAAAACAAGCACGTACAGAGAAAAGTCTTGTTCTCTGAAGCTTCATTGGAACCATTTACTGCAACAGAGGCTGTTCTGACGAGCAATGAATCGGCTCCACACTGACTAAAGTCATGCCCTGCACACGGCAGCCTCCACAGCCAATAAGTGCCTATTAAAGTGGCAGAATTTCACTAACTCTTCAGAATAACAAAGAAGTTCATCAAAAAGTACTTCACTTCCTCAAAGACCACAGCAGTCACATCTTGTAAGGGAAAAGTTGTAGCAAAACAGAACAGGAGCCAGGCTAGCAACCAGTTGTACAGTTCAATTTGTGCATCACTTCACTTTCTCCCAGGTCATCTATAATGCAAATCAAATTAGTACTCAGATACTCCTCATCAAGAGGTTGATAGGAACTGGCTTCCTGGAATCCACGCTTTCCTTGCACAGGCCCGTCTGCTGCAGGAGGCACAGAGGCAGCTCTGAGGTCCTAGTTAAAGCTCCAGAGGGACTGCTAGAGAGCAAAGCATTTGGATGGTTCTGTATTACTTAGATCTGATACTAAGAATAGTTTTTACATAAATGGAATATTAAGGATACTAAAACGAACAAACTGATGTGCAGGAAATCGGCACTAGAATACAAATAGAATTAGATTACGTGATGACAACATATGCCTGCTTTTTTTTTTGTTGGTGGTTTTTGTTAAAAACAAATGGTATTAAAATAGAGAGAAGCAAATACGAACACAGAGATGGCAGCGGAGAATGAGTGGGGTAACGGGCTCTCAGAATTAAGAATTTCTGTTCTCCTAAAGGAGCGCATGTGAACAGGCAAGGGGACCAGTTTTCCTTTAGCATGCAAAAATTCAAATCAAATTGGACTTGAACTTAAACACACCTCCTACACCTTCAATTCCTCGAGTCCTACACCCCAACAAACACCTGAAGACAAATGTCAGCCATTTACACAGAGTTTCRCACCCACCACCTCTCCTCTTGAACCCGGGTCCTGCAGAGCCCAGATCTCGGTTGCTCAGTAGCCGCAAGCCGGGGTCCCCCCTGCCCCAGGGGAGCGCAGGATATTCCCAGCCATCCAGTTTCACACTGCTGCTCACTGCCCCTGCCAGGAGCTTTGGCCAAGGCAGCACCTCTGCCTTGCTATTAGCTACAGAAACACAAGGCAAGAGGTCAAGAGAAGAGAAATGTCTTTGCAATGCCATTGYCCTCATGCTGGCAAATAAAGGAGAGAGATTTGGGGCAATCAGGCTGAGAAGRTGGAGACAGGAAACATTTAAGATGTACAGCAGGTACGATAAAGGTAGGCAGCGAGGTACTGCTTTTGCTAAGGACACTCCTTAGGCTTGAAAAGCTAGACTGGCCTAGGGCAGAAGAGTACACTAGATACACAAACATCTTATAGTTCCAGCACGTACAGGGCATTTTTACATCTACTGCTTTGAATGCCTTGGTTTGGAAGATGAAGGTCTCATTCGGGAGCTCATCAAGGAGTTCACCTGTACACACAACTCCAGAGCATAAAGCCACACATTTCTCAAAGACTGAAAAAACTGTATTTGACGATTCATTTATATCAGAGGATATCAAACTATAAAGCAGTTCAATTTTACCTCTGTACATCTATAATATTGTGACTTGAACAGACTGAACCTCTCCTATAGGCTACTCTGCTAGGTCCAGTAGCTACAGCTGCATTCCCTGAGTTCCTCCCTTGCAGTCTCTCTCCAGAAAAGAGTGGAAAGAAATAATAGAAGTTATATATAAAGAAAACTGTCACTATAAGTTAACTGAAATTTCACAATTTTTTCATTCTTCTCCTTTGGTCATATTCCACAAACTAATGGCCTTTAAAACCTTTTTTTCTTGTTCTTACCACACGCAGCTAGACACGAAATATATACTGCATTCAATTTTGCATTTCATAACTTCATGCAGGTCTCTTCTACATGATACATACATTTATTTTGCCTTTTCCTGTAACCTTGAAGATTCTACATGCAAAAATGGCAATTAGAAAGGGAGTGAAGTTCCACTTCTAAATATGGAATTAAAGAAAAAAATCAATCCATCATAACTTATAGAAAGCAGTCTTAGACGTGGTTAGCTTGCATATAGCTGACATACCAAAGACATACCCCTCAAATCAGGTATCTGTCAATGACTTAAAAACTGTCTGTGAGAATCCCTGAGAAGAAACAAACGTGATTTTCAAGTTGGTAGCATTTCCCTTCATTTGTGATTATCCRATTTTATGTTCCCTATAATTTTCTAGCGCCTTCTGTGTTATTACAGGAACAAAACATACATAATATGGCAAACTGACTTCTAAAATAATTGGCAAGTGAAAGTCTTCATTCTTCAGTCTTCCTAAAAAGGAATCTGTTAAAGATATTTTGAATATCTCCCAAATTAACTTATATCAGAGCTTAATGACCAGAAATTTAGCAGAAAATCAAGACAGCAATAAATTTATAAACTGCATATTAAACTTGCTATATGTCTATTCTTGGGCAGAGTAAGTATATCGTATCTTTTAATGTGCTTTATTATTCCTAAAAGTAGCAAGTACATACGATTTCTTTTTGCACGATTTTGTTTTGCAGGGTATAACTTTCTGTATTTCATTYATGTAAAGCATCAAAATCTTAACTAAAGGATTGGAAAGGAGGACAGMAATTAAAGTGGAAAAAAGAAGTGCAATCCCTTCATGCAGGTCAAATATTTTGTTTCATTTTCCAGAAACAAAAGACATTAAAAAAATTCCATCCTCTCAGAGATCTTGCTATTGCTTCTCTTCCCAGTTGCKCTCTCCCTCACAAATGGGTCTTTCCAAATCCATTATCAGCAACATCTTCTTCTCCTATTTATTTMAAGAGAATTGAAAGTTCTGATCAAAATTTGCTGTGGTTTTACACCAGCATGACTRTCAGAACTGGAATCTTGGATTTTTAATAGAGGGTTCATTACAAGAACTACACAGATTAACCATTAAATTGACCACTGAAAAATATCTACTACTAATCACTGAGAAAGAAACCTTAACATCAGCTAAAAGTGACAACAACCGACTCTCGTGCTTTTTGTGCCAGAGATTGATGTGGTTTCCATTAATCTTCCAAAGTCACTGAACATTTCTTTTCAAAAACTCTCCACTTCCACAGCTAAGGAAAGCAGCAGCTAACGGGACAAGCTCTTTCCGATTCTCGGGCCATAATCAGCCTTTGTTTCATATCATAGAGATCTACCCATTTCCRAAGCCTCAGGAGACCTTTGCTCACCTTGCAACAGACTAAGAACTGTTTTAAAGCAATACGGCAAGAGAAGTGTGTGTGTATATACACACACACAAGATGTATATATCAAGATATGGAGGAGTAACTATCAAATCTCATTTAAGGTTAGATGGGAGCTTGTTTGACAGCACTTCGTCTCAGGAACCGAATTTCAAGCATAAACAGATATTGAATATCCTGTCAGGCCTGAGTAAGAGATCTCTGCTCAGTCCAGAAGACACTCGTGCTCTTCTGAACGCAGATTACTCGGGTACCATTCAGCATCTGTAAGGCACGAGCTGGCATCCAGACTTGTTTCCCTCACGCAGAGGCTGCCTTCATCTTTTTCCCTCCTGCAGTCAGGAATGAAAAGTTCTCATGAGTTTAGAACGCGAGTTTGGAAGAGAAGAAAGAGGAGTTACATGAGCAAAAACGTTAGGGAAAAGCTCTCGTGTGAGATGTAGCAGGCACTGTTTTTCATGCCCTCTGTGAGGGTTTCCAGCAACTGGCTGTAAATGCGTCGCACTTTCCTTCCCCACTCAAGTGAATCTCACTAAATACATGTGACCCTCCAAGATCTGAGCACAGGGACACATATCCTGCAGCCAGGAATCGGGACCTGTCCCATTTCTGCAGGGACTTTCAGGGGCTCCACAGCCAGAATCTTGTGGAGGAAGAGGCAAGATTCAACCATGGGAAGCAGAGATCATTTCACAAAGGCTCCTTCTGCCTGCCAACCAGCTAAAGCACAACAACTTTTATGTGATCTATCCTATAGTACCAGAAATAACTCTTGATCACATAATTTAAAGAGAGTCCAWAGAAATTAACTTCTTACATATCTAGAAATAACTCCAAACATAGGTTATTAGGAAATATGTTCTTGCATGTATCTTGTAAAAAGAGCACTCACGGCATTAAAGGAAGGGCATTTCCACCACTTCTTGAAAAGGACAGTCCATGTAATTAAAGGCCCAATTCAAATCTGTGCGTCTTTCAGGGAAGAAAATCCCAGCTACACATAAAGGCAAAGCTAGCTTCCTGCCCAATGTGCTTATTCCTGCACTGTTGCCGTTATCCACTGAGTTTCTTACAGTTGCAAAGTTTAAGCTTAAAAATCAGCCAGTCATTAGAACACTTCTGCCTTTGAATTCTTTGMAAAAATATTTGAAGTCAGAGTCAAACTTTATATTTCTCTTTGAGAATGCTACACAAATACATACCATATTTGTGCTATTTCTACTGGGAATATATTCTACTATTAAATAAATCTGTCTTGCTATCATTTTGCTATGATTCAAAACAAGTTCTCAATCCACATTTTTCCTATCTTGCTTTCACTGTCTTAGA